TGAACCAAACGTATTTTCTTGCCTGTGACTTTCATTTCGAAAGAGCCACAAAGTCTCCATTAGGAGCAGAGCAGGAGGTTTGAGGCAGAATTCAACCACACGACTGTCATCATATGTAGCCGTAGGGGCGTTTTTAGACGCAAGAGATCGCGCCGCTTCCCAACATCAGGTGTCAAACTTGATGCTCGTACAACTCGGTATTCCCGCAGTGACTGACAAGTGTTCTTCAACAGAAATCCAAGAAAAGCAACACCCCTCTACAGCCGCACAAACGCTGGCTACACCTAATTGGATGAGCTTTTCACTTGTGGGCTGTCTACTTATGGATTTGAAAGTGGACCAACATGGTGGCTTATTTGGAAACTTCTGCTCATGTGTTACTGAAAAAAATTTGAAGTGAGGAATAAGCTATGCTGTTTCCAAATCTGTTGTCATTTTAGACCGACAGTTATTTTACAAACTTACTTACTTATCTCGTTAACGTCTGTTAGGACACTAGCAGTGTGTCAGGTGATGCACGGATGCTTTGCAGTTCCATTCGCCATTTATCCCTACTGAGGACAGTGGTTGGCTTAAAGTTTTTCCGAATTTTCCAGACGTGTCGAATGCCAGACCTCAACTTTATAAAAATAAGCAGGCCTTGTAACACCCTGTCTCTCGAAGCGCATTGCAACGGCACCAGAATACATAGTCCTTTAATAGACAATGAATGTGAAGAGAGGAAGCCAGAATACCGAGGTTCACACCCATGTTTGACCATCATTCTGAGACTTTTGCCAAAGACTTTTCGTGTCCCCTTGTTGTTTGCTTTTGGTTTTTACTGGCACCAAAACTGCACGGGTAGATTTAGGAAGATATCCAGCTTTGCTTGACTCAACAACAACTACATGTTAGAACTTAATTTAAGTTTTGCTACCAAAATTACTTGCTTAGGTTTGCAAACATAGCACGGTTTGGGTTCAAATATAAAACTCTCTCTTCAAGTTTCAAGCCTGTACTTTATTTTTTGGCTTACCAATTTGATGATTGATTTACTAATGATAAGCAACGGTAAAGAAATAAAATAAATGGCCAGGATATAGTAATTAGAAGTTTTAGGATATGTCACTGACAAATATAATCGAAGAAAATTTATATTTCCCTCAAAAAGTATTTGAAAATGCAGTTTGGTTGTATAGGGACAGCGGGAGACGGGGTTGACATAAATCCATCCATCCATCCATTATCTATACACCGCTTAATCCTCATTAGGGTCATGGGGCGCTGGAGTCTATCGCAGCCAACTTAGGGTGAAGGCAGGGGACACCCTGGACAGGTCACCAGTCTATCACAGGGCTACACTTAGAGACAGACAACCAAGGACACTCACATTCACACCTATGGACAATTTAGAATCACCAATTAACCTCAACATGTTTTTGGACTGTAGGAGGAAGCCAGAGAACCCGAAGAGAATGCACTTGAAATCCTTGCACTAAATTCTACTCGTGTTCTAGCAGAGCGCATTCGCTAATTGTCGAAATATTGTTACATGGATATTCTAGGATAGTTGAGAAAGTTGAATGTAAACACCTGCATCAACACAGCTTTAACAACTGCAGACACCAAAGCAGACAACCGTAACCAACAACAGCGTCAGTATAAAGACTTGTCCACCTGTGTCAAGTTCAGCTCTTCATACCAGCAGCTGCACGATTCGCCCTCAGACTTCAAATGCCAGACAACCTTGGTAAAGAAAAGTCTGTGCAGGTGTGTCTAAATAAATACCAGACTCCCTAAAGTGAGCTAAGGACTTCATTTTGCACCTAGCAGTTTAAAAAACTGGACTACACTAGAATATTCCTGCCAAACTTTGCTTGAAAAACTAAAAAAATTAGCCTTAATTCCTTTGGGAACGAGAGTTTGTTCAGACTCACACAGTAAACTGTTGCTTGAAGAAAAAACTTTATTCACGTACTACATTTTAAAACACTTCCAGCTTTGTTCCAGTATAATCTGTTCATAGGAGACCAGCACCTATAACACGTTGCTTTTTATTACTGTTGCTGCTGTTACTTTACTGTTGCTGCTAGTTTCCCAATAACCTTAACAGGGATATTTGTCATACCAAACCATATACACACCAGAAACAAAGAATACTACAGCATTGCCTCTCACCATATAAATGTGATACGTAAATATGCTGTAAGCTAAACACTTCTTCCTTTTGTTTAGTACGGGATTTGTTCAAGTTTAATAAAGTTTAGTTTTACCACTGATGGACATAATGTGCATTTGCATATGTTTGACTGAGATAAAAACAAGTGTAGATGTTCATAAACTGGGAGATAATCAGTCATGACAATCACTTTTAAGTGTCTGAATAGTGCACAATATGCTCGGATACACTCAGGCCTGTACATCGAAGTCAACGCAGTAAATACAGCTTTGAGACTTTTAGAAATTGTACTGTGTATTCTGTGTATGTGTGCCATTGGAGTATCTAGATAAACAACAGCACCTATCTAGATAGGTAGATAAACAGAGTTTATCTCGGCTTACATTCGCTACTTCTGTTGTCCCATCCATCCGCTGCTATTTGTCTTGAATCCCTCTTTCCTCCCCCGTCAAGAGCTGAAGGAGGAGGTAGATGTGATGATTACTTTTCACTCCAGGGCTTGTACCTGGATGGCACTCCAGCAGTGTAGCCTCATTCAGTTAAGCTAATGTCCTGTAAAAATTCTATTAATGCACTGCCACAATGCTCATTTTCTCTCAATTTTCTCCTAATATTCTCTTTATTCTTTATTTCTATCACCCTCTCATTCAACCCAATCTTTTCTCGCCTCTACTTTTCTTCTGCTCTCTCTCTCTCTCTCGGTTCTCTAATTGCCCTTTGTGCCTCTTTTTCTTGGACAATTCCTACAGTCGGCTCTCTGTGTTGCTACGCACTCACAGCTGCATGTGGTTCTGCCTGTATGCTTTAACACATGGGTCAATTTAATCAGGTGCTGCTGAGTGCAGTATTCAGTCACACATCCTATAAAGTGAGGTCACAGTGAAAAGAGCCCATTTATATTAGATGGTCTGTGGTATTAAATTAGACACAGTTACTGTGTAGGCACTATCTGTCTCTTTCTTCTTTGCCTGTACTTGTGTTTTTTTCTATTCATTTTGCAAGACAGAGGCAGAAAAATCAGACGAGAGATAGCCATAAAAATGGTAAGGAATGAAACTCCCCTAATGAATTCCATTTTCTATCCCATTTCCCATATAAAGAAACCAATTTCATTGAATTTCCTCGTTTATTTAAAATCAGCAAATCACAGCGAAGCATTTGACATGGTTTCCATGGCAGCACAGAAGGCCATGACCCAATTTTATGTCTGGCAGATCAGATATGAGATCGTTCAGTGTGTGTGTGTGTGTGTGTGTGTTCGTGTTGTTGGACGTGCGCAGACGCTTGTGTGCACATGGACGGTAAATATGAAGTTTTTCTAGATGTACACACACACACACACAC